TCACAAGCCCTCCAGGGGGTTCCGGCGCTCCCAGAAGTTTGAGGGCTGAGGTTTCAGTGGATTTGGTACCTAGAACCCTGGTCATTGGGAGGACAATTTTGCAGATGAAAAAGGTAGGGCCCATCAAGGTTGAGTCTCTTGTGAAAGGCCTTGAGGTCAGTAAGGGGTGGGAGGCCCGGCCCTGCCCCCAGTACTTCCTCCGGGCAAGGACCTGGGATCTAGATAAAGGTGGCCGAGTGCTTGTCCTAAGGAGTCCCCCACCGTCCCTGGAAGGCACTCAGGCACACGGCAGGGGCCTGGCAGGCATGACTCAGGGGTTGAGCATCGACCAATGGACCAGGAGGTCACAGTTCGATCCCCGGTCAGGGCCCACATCCGGGTTGCGGGCTCCATCCCCAGTAGGGGGTGTGTAGGAGGCAACTGACCCATGATTCTCGCTCATCATTGATGTTTCTCTCTCTCCCTCTCCCTTCCTCTCTGAAATCAATACAAATACATTTAATGAGAAAAAGAACACGGCACCGCAGGACCTCTGGGCCCTCAAGCCTCTCAGCGCACATGGGCTGGACCAACCCCCGGCACGGAAGGGACTGACCGCGGGGATGAGGGAGCGGACAGGGACGCCACGTCCTGTGCACATCAGGGCGGCAGGAAGGGCTCCGGGACAATTCGACCTGCGGCCACATCCTCGAAGTCGGCTAACAATCCGGACAACACTCACAGCACCCACGTTAATCCCATGGCGAAACTTGTGAGAATCGGAAGAAAATGATCGTTTGCAGAATGTCTTCCCCAAAAGGAAGAAAACGAGGTTGAGCGAAAAGGCAAATGTAAGGGGAAACTAATATTAAAATGGGGGTGGGGGTGACGAGGCAAACTCAGTTCTTGGGAGAATCGGACGTGCCATTGGGGCCCCGTCCTCCACCTCCACCCGCTGCCTGGGGGTCTGTCTCTGCCGGAGGCGTCAGCTGGAAGGTCCTGGGGGCCGTGTTCTCATGTAACCTAAGAGACGTTCCCGTCTGCCACAGCAGAAGCTATCTGCTTGCTCGGTGCGGCCAGATGGCCTGTTAAGATCATTCAAAGATTAAATCTGTTTTTAAAAAATTCCTGTAGCATCTGTTGCCTGGCTGGAGTGACTCAGGGGTTGAGCATCGACCTTATGAACCAGGAGGTCAGGGTTCGATTCCCGGTCAGGGCACAGGCCCGGGTTGTGGGCTCCATCCTCAGTGTGGGGCGTGCAGGAGGCGGCTGATCCATGATTCTCTCTCATCGTTGATGTTTCTCTCTCTCCCTCTCCCTTCCTCTCTGAAATCAATATAAATACATTTTTTTAAAAATCCTGTGGTGTCTGTTAAAGTCATGCAGGCACCTTTGGCGTAAGACAATGAACTAGGCGAGGCATCTGCCACTACGCGAGGGCGGGAGGGGCACAGAGAGGACCCCGGGCCTGGGCATCGGGGAGAAGGGACCCTGGGCTGAGGCTGCTTCCAAGAGTGAAGGGACATGCGGGTCCAGGGGGACAGCAGGGCGCACCCACGTGAACCTGCTGTCCCCACTGCTCGGCCGGCGCCAGCAGAGCCGGAGAACCTGACTCTGTCTTCTGAGTGTCTGGTCCCCCCTGGATCTCAGACCCAACGTCCTTCCCGAGCCAGGCAGGGCACGCAGGGGCGACCGCAGAGGCCATGCCTCCCAGACGGGACGGCTACTCTGTGGCGGCCAACGCTGCCCAACTAATATTCAAAACCTCTGGCTCCTCCAGACCAGCCGGAAACCCCGGCTTCTGCCTGCAGTCCCCTGATCTGTCAACGTGGTCCGTCCAGAAATGCAAAATCCACGAAGCATCGTGGGAGTCAAACAAGTCCCGTGGGAGGACCACATCTGGCCCCCGGACTGTGCGGCGCACCCTCTGGTCTCTCGGGCCTGACTGTGCGACACTCAGGGAACTGCCTGGACGAAGCGCCTTCTCACCTGGGTCTGGAGAGCCGCGCCCAGGGCCCCACAGTCACACCCGGCTCCCGCGGACTCCACCGAAGACCTGAACACGGCCAGAGGCGCAGACTGTCTGAACTGAGCACATCAAAGTCGGCAGTGAAACCCGGGCCCCCGACGGTGGGGCCGGCTTCCCGGGCATGTGCTTGGAGAGGCGGCAGGCCGGTTCGCTTCCCTGCTGGGCATCGTCCACAGGGTGGGGAGCAGAGGGGCCTGGGGCTGCCGCTCGGCCAGGAGCGCTCCCTCCGGTCTCTCCCACGTGGCCTTGGGAAGGAAACGTTTCCCTGCCAAAGGCGCGCAAAGGCAGCAGAGGGAGCAGGCCTCGGGGTCCCTGGCGCCCACAGATGGCGGCTGCGGCCGGGGCCCCGCGGACCGACAGCTGCTTCCTCAATCCCGACTCCCGCGGACACAGGGCTCTGCTCTGCTGACTTCTATGCGAGATACAGAAGTGAGAGGGCGTTTCCTGCCTTTCCTCTCAAACCAATCCGGGCACAAGAGACTCCTCGCAGCACAGCACGCTCAGAGGCAAAGCGGACGAAGTGGGTTTTCTTAAATGTCAGCCCACAGGGCCACTGCTGCCCTGCCCACAGGCCATGGTGAAAACGTTGGCTGGCTGCCTCCAGCACACACCCCGACCAGGGCAGGGGATCGAGCCTGCAACTGAGGGACGTGCCCTTGACCGGGAATCGAACCGGAGACCCTTCAGTTCATGGATCGATGCTCTAACCACTGAGAAAACCAGCCAGGGCCTGAATTTTTTATTCCATTTAGTTTCTTTAATTATTATTGATTTTAGTGAGAGGAAAAGAGAGAAAGAGAGAAAGAGAGAGGGAGAGAGAGAGAGAGAAACATGGATAGGCTGCCTCCCACACATGTCCAGACTGGTGATCAAACCCACAGGCCAGGTATGTGCCTGACCAGAAACCAAACCCACCACCTTGCAGTGTACGAGGCGACGTTCCAACCGAGCCACACGGGCCAGGGAATTCCACTGAGTTTTAATTAATTCAAATAATCTAATCATTGCATTTGTCAATTACTTGTCGATAATTTCAATAAAGCTGAAAACCACTTACAGTTGCATGTGCCTCTTGGCTGCCGCGTGGGACAGCGTGTCTGTGGCGCACAGAGGACCCATAAGAGGCGTCAGCACCTTTGCTCTGGGAAAGGCCAGGCTCTGAGACCAGATGGTCTGTCACCACTGCTCCGCTCCGCATGGGAGCACGAGGCAGCCACAGACACTATGTACACAAGCAGACATGGCTGCGTGCCAATAAAACTTTATTTGCAAAGCCAGGCAGAGGGCCAGATCTGGCCTGTGGGCTTCGTTTGCCGACCCTGCCCACCAGCTGGATGACGTGGGGCCTCTTTCTCTGACTGAACGTGGATGTCTTTGCCTATAAAAAGGGAGTGATCACAGCACCCACTCCTCACACTGCTACGAGAGCCACAGAAGAGGCCTGTAACAGGGGCCGCACGGAGCGGGCATTCAGGGAGTAGCCGCGGGGAAACGGCATGTGCTGGGCTCTCTGACCCACACTACCCCATTCACTGCTGCCTCGCGAAGTGCGCACTGTGAGTCCCGGTCCACGGAGAAACCAGGTGTCTGGTTCAAAGTCCATGCAAGAAAGTGGCAGGACTAGAACCCAGGGCCTCGCTTCCTGGCTCCGCGCCCAGCCTCCCTTCCTCCGGCTTTTCCAGGGGCCGGCAGCCCTCCCCAGCATCCTGCCTGACCGTCGGCTCACTGTGCGACTTGTACTTAAGAGGCTGGCTGTTTGTAGGAGACCATTAAGAGCAACGAAGCAGCCCGGACGGCGGGGCTTGGTGTTTGAGCGTCGACCTATGAACCAGGAGGTCACGGTTGGAGTCCTGGTCAGGACACAGGCCCGGGTTGCAGGCTTGATCCCCAGTGTGGGGCGTGCAGGAGGCAGCCAATTGATGACTCTCATCATGGACGTTTCTCTCTCTCTCTCCCTTCCTCTCTAAAATCAATAAGAAGGTATTTTAAGAAAAACAATGGAGACAGCTTCTTGAGGACTCCAAGAGGATGTACCCTCCTGGCTCCTGTTCTGTCCACCATGCCGGAGCCCTCGTCACCACCAGGGACTGTGGCCGTCTACAGCCGTCCATCACCACACGCAGAGGCTGTCCACTGGGGCTCCCCTGCACTGGGCAGAGTCGGATGGGGTTCAGGTGCCACAGATCCGAATGCAAACCTCGCCGGCGCCCCTCACAGCGCTGCACCCCCAGCATGTGCTGACCGCCCTGGGAATTAGCCGCACAGGGAGGTGTGTTGCCAAAATCAAGGCCATCTGCAATAACTCACTCACTCCTCTCCTCAGAGCTGAACGCGGATAAGCACACCCCTCCAGGGCTCACAGAAGACACCCCGGCACCCCCATCCCCGTAGCTCATTGCTTTCCTCGCTCTCCTCCGTGGCCGAGTCACATGTCACGGCCCGTGGAGTCCGGGCTGGCATCCGAGGGCGTGGAGGCCACAGGCGCGCCGGGCGCCAGGCGTCAGGCGACCCAGGCAGAACATTCTCGCGTGTTTGTGTCAGCAACTCCCCCGCCCTCCTGCCGAGGGCTCGGTGAGAACACACCACCACAGCGCCCACAGGGCACTGGAGCGCCTTTCCATCATACCAATACGGCTGCTCGTCTTTCTTTTAAAGCAGGTGGGAACCTTCTTCCTGCCAAGGGCCTTCTGGATGTTAATCACATCCTTCTCGAGCACACACAGTTATCAACTGAGCCCTGGCCAGTGTGCTCAGTGGTTAGAGCGTTTGCCCTGTGGTCTGAAGGGTCCCGGGTTCGATTCCAATCAAGGGCACGCACCTAGGTTGCAGGCTCCTCCCCGGCCCGGGCCCTGGTCGGGAGGCAACCCATCCATGTATTTCTCTCACATCAATGTTTCTTTTCCTCTCTCTTCCACTCTCCCTTAAAAATCAATGGAAAATTATCCTCGGGGGGGAGGATTAACAAAACAAAACACACCTTTAATTAACTCACCACTAATGCCTTGGCAGGGCCAGACCAAATGACTTCGCAGGGCTTGTACGCCCATGGGCCCGACGTTCCCCAGCCCTGTTTTAAAGGGAGAGCAAGGGAGCTGTCCACTGAGTCGGGCTTGCTCAATCGGGGCGCCCAAAGGCTTGCTCGCTGCGCTGCTCCGTTCCCGTGCGGCCCAGGCCAGACGCTCCGGGCGGCCCTGGGAATCCCAAGTGCCCGCTTCAAGCAAGAGCTTCGGCTGCAAATAAACAGAGACGCAGCCCTCTGGCCAAGTCGATGGCACTTGAAAATTCCGTGTCAGGAAGTAGCTCTCCCTCCAAGGAGGTCACTTCAAGGTCAAAATGACTAGGCCCTGGGCAGTGTCCCCACAAGGTGATGAGGGGTCCGGAGGCCGCCAGATCCACACCCGGGGAGCAAGAGAGGCCAGGTGGGAGGGCAAGTGCCAGGGGTGACCGCGTCACCGGCACGGAGAGGTGCTGGCCGCGGGGGGAAAGGCGCCAGCCGACTTGAAGGAGGGGCGACACCAAAGAAAGCATCACCTGCAAGGAGTCTGAAGAGAAGCCCGAAGGGTGGGAGACGGACCCACGTCAGTCCGGACAGGTGCGCGGTCACTCGGGCTCCCAGAGATTCGTCCCAGAAGCAGGTAAGAGCAGGGCCGAGGTCCCGAGGCCACTTCCGGACACCTCCGTGAATGTCATTTCCTACGTTTAGGCCCAAAGTAAAGCCCTTTCAGTAAACAGAGGTTTTATTTCCTAAAGCGAAAGCCTGACAGATTTCACCAGCCTGGCCAGTGTGGCTCAGTGGTTGAGCACCAACCTATGCACCACGAGGTCACGGCTCGATTCCCGGTCAGGGCACAGGCTGGGGTTGCAGGCTCCATCCCAGTGTGGGGCGTGCAGGAGGCGGCAGATCCATGATTCCCTCTCATCATGGGTGTTTCTCTCTCTCCCTCTCCCTTCCTCTCTGACATCAATAAAAATAAGAAATAAAGATTTCACCAGTCTTAACTCTTATGAAGAGACACACTGCAAACTACACACATGCTTTCAAGCCTTCCTCCCCAAACACGCATGTCACCTGAGAACCCTGGGTCACACAGGCCCCCCGGCCCGGCCCGCCAAGCCCAGCTCCAGCTGAAGTCCCCTCGGGCTCTGTCCCTCGTCCTGCCATCCATGGGGCCATGAGCACAGCCACCTTGTCCTTGCCTTTGTCCCCCAGGCCTCCTGACCCCATGGCCGGCTGCAGGCTGCACGGGACGATCACTGATGTTCGCTGGACTCTGTGTCCCCACCCACATCTCACTCCACGCCCCAAACCCACGGGCCACGGTCCAGATGAGGGAGCCCAGCTGGAGACAATCACCGCCTCACGGATTTGAACCCAGGCACCGACCCCTGAGCTTTCTGCTCACTTGCCCTACATGACAGAGGCCAGCTGCCCCCGCGCCCTGCTGCCCCCGCGCCCTGCCCAAGCTCCACTGTGGTTTTCTCCCGTTGGCACAGAGCTTGCCCTGGACCTCATGGCACCACCACCCACGTCTCTGCGCACCCCTCCGCATGGCACCACACCCTTCACGGACCCAGCCAGGCACTCGACCGGCCCCTCCAGCACGGAACACAGGGCCAGCAGGATGCGAGCCCGAGGCCGGGAGGTTCGCCCAGCACATGAGGGCCAGCAAGTGGGCAGCAGCGTGCCCACCACCATCCAGCGGGGATGCCGTTTGACCAGCAGAGGGGCATCACAGGAGGGGGCTCCCCAGCCCGGCCCTGGCCACAGAGGACCCCTCCCGCAACCCCACCGCCCTGCAGCCTCGCAGAGCCCGCCCCGGCCCCCTCCTCACCCAGAGCGGCCCCCTCCTCACCCGGAGCGTCTCGTCTTCCCACCTTGGAGCCCGAGCCGGCAGAGGCAGCGCCAGCAGGGGAACCTCCCTCGCTCCCAGGCCCCGGCCAAGGCGAAAGCCAGAGGCAGGGGAATTCCAGGCGGCCAGGCCTTGCCTGTCAGCGCCCTCCATCCACAGGGCCGCCTCCCCGGGCGCCGGGCGGCAGCAGCCTGGAACCTGCGGGGCCACTCCTTTCCCCGAGCCCTGCCCTCCCCTCCGGAGCCCGCAGGCCCACCCGCAGCCCTGCCACACGCCACCCAGGCCCTCCTGGAGGCAGCAGCGTGGTGCCATCAGGCACCGCTGGGCACCGCCCTAGACCTGCGGGAACGGAGCCCCCTGTGCACGGGCAGGCGCTGGCGACGAGGACGCGTGGACGGAGGAACCAGGACGGGGCCACGGCCAGGACGAGCCGCCATCCGCCATCCCTCTCGCCCGGCGGCAGGTCCGAGCGGCGTGTCTGCAGCAACAGGCAGAGCTGGTCCCTTGGCAGAGACTGTGGGGCCCTCCGCGAACTGGTGAAGCGAATGCCCAGCGCCATGAGGGACACACGGAAGGTGCCCGGTCCACGCCCGCTCAGTGAACGCAGGAATCACGGGCGGGAGAAAATAAGGGCCCTCCTCACCCACCTCGTCAGGCCCCATCCTGGGCCATGGAGGAGAGCGAGCCTCACCACCCACCACCACGCGCAGAGGAGCAGCTGGAGACCTTGGCCAGAGCGACCAAACCCTCCCACCAGTGCCAGGCCCAGCAGGCCCATCGGGACTCCGTGCGCCGCTGGCACTGACCGAGCTGCATGTCAGCAACCGAGGGACCCGCTGAGCAAAACTGGGCTGGCCTGTCGACGTCAACTGAGACGGCCCGGCCCGCCAGGCGGAGGACCTCTGCACTGTGGCCGGGGCCATGTCTGCACCACAGCCGCGGCCTCTGGGCCAGAGCCGGCCTCAAAGTCTCACAGGACAGAAAGGGCGCTGGGCAGGGCCCGGCAGACGCAGCTCTGTCCCTCTGTGCCCTGGCGGGGGCTCCCCGCACCTCTTGGGGTCGGATGTCCCCTCCGGAAGGTTGTGGCCGGGAGACCTTCTCTCCACAGCCCGCTCATCCTGAACGGACTGGAGGAGGGGCATCCACCTGTGTCGGGAGGCCAGGCTGCGGGCGGTCAGGTACAACCAGGTGCCGGTGCGTGGCCGTCCTGCCAGGCGAGGTGGAAAGGACCAACTGCTCCCCGAGAATCACCAACGTGCGCCCTGAGCCAGACAGACTGTGCCTTCCCTCCCATGAACCGAGGGACACCACGGGCCAAACCTCCGGGAGGCAGAGAAGCGGAACCGACCAGCGGGAGGGAGGGGCGCAGGGCCTGCAGAGAACTGCGCAGAGACCGCCCGCCACCCCCTCCCCCCCCACATAAAACCCACCCGCTCCGCTCCGGGAGGAAGGTGCTCAGGGGGCTGAGCGAGGCCTGCACGGGGAGGCGACCCGAGGCCTGGCCCCCCAGAAATAGGGACTCCGGGGTGATATCTACGGCGGGCACTTCACCAGGGGCGGGCACCTTTCCCATCCTCCCACCTCCACGGAGACACAGCGGTGGAAAGTTCCAGAGGGTTGTGCCACTCCTGGTCCCCGCTAGCGAAGCAAGGTGCGTGTGGGGTCCATCCCAGACCTCACTCCTACGTCTCAGATGCACAGATGAACCAACCCCAAAGCTTTAAAAACAACAATGCTAACCCGGCCAACGGGGCTCAGGGTGGAGCATCGACCTAGGAACCAAGAGGTCAGGGCTCAATTCCCGGTCGGGGCACAGGCCGGGTTGCGGGCTCGATCCCCAGCGTGAGGCGTGCAGGAGGCAGCCGATCCATGATTCTCTCTCATCATGGATGTTCCTCTCTCTCTCTCCCCCTCTCCCTTCCTCTCTGACATCAATAACAATATATTTAAAAACACCAATGCTGAGCCTGCCCTCCTCTTAAGGTTCTGATGTAACTGGTCCTGGTGCCGCCCAGACACAGGTGTTTGTTTAAACCTCCCCGGTGACCCCATGTGCGGACGGCGCTGAGAACCACTGCGCTGGATTCTAAAAACGCAGCCAGCAGGGGCCCAGCTCTGTCCACAAACTCTTTCGGGGAAGAAAGGGCAGCACAGCCCGCCCGGCAGGCTTTGCAGGAGGTGGGTATCCTGCCCCCACCCCCACCCCCCAACCAGGATCAACCTGCAAAGAGCCATCTGCCCGCGGCGGCACGCAGGGCACCTGACCAGCCCTGGCGGGGTGGCCAGTCCCATGGCCGGAGGAGGCATAGTTATGCTTGTTGCCTGATGACTCCAGGCCCGTCAACACAAGGGGCTCTGCACAGACCTGGGAGGGCAGCGCCACAGAACGATTTCCGCGGAGACACCCGAGTTACACATGAAAAACCCCGGTGCCGGCGAGACTTCACAGGCTCTGTGAACGGAAAATGGAATCTGAACACACGGGGATGCTTCTAGCGGGCTGCCAGCCTCACTCCCCGCTGCCCCACAAGGTCACTGGGAATAATTACATTTTCGTGAGAATCTGTCTTCTGTAAGGACGAAGCAAAACATCTCGGTCTCCCCAGTGGAGGCACTGCCTCTTGTCCTGTGGTTGATACAGAATCTGATCGCTCCTCAAAAAAAAAAAAAAAAAAGGCTACAGGAGAGGGGGGTAAAGGGAGAGCGGCAGTTAAATTTCTACGTTTCTCCGTGGTGCTAACAAGACTAAACAAAACTTATGCTCTGAGATAAAGCAGAAGCCGTGCCCCTGTCTCATGCGCACACCGGCTGAGGGCACAGTGTGTGCAGAGCAAGGTGGACGGGCCAGAGCTGCCAGCTTCCCGGCCTGGCAGCCGTGCGGCCTGGGGCCAGTTACTCGGCCTCTCTGAGCCTCGGTTTCCCCGGCGGTCACGGCAGGATTGCTCTGAGAATTAGAGTGCAGGCCACGCCCCTGGCCCAGGGTGAGCCCTCAGTGCCCACGGGCCCTGCTGCTGTTCTTTGAACCATCTGCGCCCACTGCCCGGCACCCAGCTTTCCGTGGCCCTGAATCTCAGGAACTTGGGAGCCACATCACCCAGGAGAATCCGCTCCCTTGTTTTGGGGGAGGAGGGGAAAGAAGCCAGAGCAGCCAGGAGTCGGCCTGCCCGCATTTTGGGGTCAAACGGCTGCTTACCAAAATGATCCGGTTGACCTCCTAGGAGTGGCCCAGTGGACTAGGTCCCTCCAGGGACAGTGCATGCCCGAGGGGAGGGGCGCTGTTCCCAAGACTTTCCTGCGGTCCAGCCAAGCGGCCCCCCTCCTCCCTCCCCCCTGAAAGGCAGACTCCCTCCCGCTCCGCAGCCCCACCGGGAGGGGAGGGGTGCCTGTCACGCTGCTCCCTAACCCCTGACGTGATGTGAAATTCGACAAGGTAGACCCTTTGAAATGCAAAATCCTCCCGGGCCCTTCCTCTGTTTTTATTTTCTCCGGCTCCTAGGGCTGCTTTCAGACCCACCCATCAGCGGTTCCCTCTCAATCAACCCTCGCCGAACAAAAAGGGAAGAGGAGAGAGAAGAGGAGAGAGAGGCGGCGGCACAGACGGCTGTTTTTGAAAACGCTCCAGTGTCTCCAGTTGCTGCAGGGAAAACCTGGCCC